TGTTCCTCACCACCTGCATGTCCTCTACCCCACTATGCCATCCTCCAAGTCTTTTTTTCTCTTATGTGCCTTCTGATGCTTTTCTATAGCACCCCAAAGAAAGCCTCATTTCCGTCTCCTTCTCTCTACACCTCTGATTCATTTCTCCTTGTCTACAGAGTTATTATTTGTAAGAATAGCTAAAAATTGTTGAGCTCTTACTGTGAGCCAGGCAATGGACTTTGCATTTTATTTGGATTATCTCGTTTATTCTTCATTATGGTTTTATGAGGAAAGTACTACTATTTTCATGTCCACTTTATAGAGTGGAGAACTGAGGCTTTTAGATGAAATAACTTGCCCAAGTTTACAGAGCTAGGAAACAACAGCAGCAGGCATGGGACCACGCATTCCTGTTGTGTCTGTTGTGCAGGAAGGCCTTGCACTGTGAAGCCGGGGGCGACTCACTGACTGCTGGTGCAGCAGCGCAGGACAGAGATGCTGACATCTTGCCTCCAGTCCACTAAGTCCCAACCAACCTCCCTGGCAGAGCACCTAGTGACGGCTGCCATGGAAATGACCTTTCTCCGCACCTGCTCAGGTGACTTCCAGCTGCGAGGTGGGGGGAAGGGGCTCCCTGCAACCTTGTCTGATTCTAGTCTGATCCCTTCTTCAGCTAACCTGCCTCAGGACAGGGGACACACCAAGGAGCGTTAGGCAGCAAGCAGCCACCTGTGGTCCAACTTGCCCTTGGAGAAACAGCATTGAAACAGACTTAACATACTTCCTAACAAGACCTGCCTTTTCTTTCACACTTTTCTTTCACAGCCTCCTAGAAATGTACAACTATCCACATCATCCCCCTAGATGCAACCCCTGCCTGCAACTTATTAACTGGACTGCTTATCAAGAACTGATGAAAAATCTGAATACAGTAAAAATTGAATCCAGACACAAAAGAGATTCCCTGCAAATTCTTTCCTGTCATCTGTTCCTGCCCTTTGCTTAAATAGGCTATATTCTTAAATGCATTACTTTTATTTCCCCAAATGAAATTTTCAAAATCAACTGAAGTATTTGAAAGTGAATAAAACATCATGTATTATTGCTATCATCATGATCAGTTCTGCATTTGATGTAACGAGCTAAATATCACATTGGTTTTAGCCCCAGCTCAGCTGTTGAACTTCAAAATTTAGGATGTTTCCCCCCTGTAAACCTCAATTGCCACCAACAACCCCGCCACCTATCAGAAGGGTTTTGAAGAGCAAAGGTTACTAGATTCTGATTTTTTTTTTCAAGTATTACAATCCTGATTTTAAAACAACTTCACTGATGATGTGCTCAGAAATTCTTGAAATTTATATAGGGCTTTAGAAGCTAAAGTTTTTCTATCTATCTTACGATTTGTCCACCAGCTTAATTGTGTCCCTGGCATAGTCTTCCTTAATAGAATTCAGCACCTAAAACCATGCTAGCCTGGAGATATAGCACCACTGCTTTTGTGTTGTCAAGGCCATTGTTCTCTCACCACTTTTCATTTGAAGTACAATTACCTGGGCATCCAGTGTCACCATGTGCTTTCCCTGCATCATAGTAAGTAGGAACGGGACAGAGATGGCTAACTGAGGAAGCAGGGGGGACCAGGGAAGAGCACATCTGGGCATTTGGGGGTGGCGTGTTAGAACCCGTGGCTTAGGAGGAGGGGGCTGAGTGGATGAAAGGAATCAGCAGGTCTGAAGCAAGTGATGGTGGAGGGGAGACAGGAGCCCGACAACACTCTCGCGGTTTGCCTGTCCCCAGAGAACAGGATCTGGTCTCTCCTCTCCGCCAGCTGGGCCTACTGAGTTTCTCCTTTTGGTTCTCCTTCTTCCCCTGGTAATCAGTTCCCTGCCTCACTCTCTCCTGCTGTGGCTGCACTAAGTCTCTCCTGCTCTTTTCCTTTCTCCCAGACCTTGCCTTCGGCTGTGCCAGTGGTGTCCTTTTGTCCCTGCTGCTGGCTCCAGGGCCCCAAGCATTCCTGTTGCCAAAATCTACTGGCTTTGGGGGCTGTGACTGCACTTTTTTGTTGAGGAGGGACCAGGAGGTTTGTGTGTCTCTAGTGGGCTGGAGCTTAAAATGTGAACTCCTGGGCTACCTTCTAGGTGCTGCTCCCCATTTACTACACATGCGAACGATGTGGTTAGTGCCCTGGGTCACTAGGTCGCCCTTTAGCATAGACAGTATATGCAACAGAGGGTTTACCTTGTAATAGTGCCCTGGAAAGTTGATCTGGACACATTGGTTTGTGGAGCAGATGGGAAGGAGTCGAGTGTGAGCCCTGCACGAACCTTGTGGATCCTGGGCACCTTCCATGCCCAGCCTCAGCTCCAGGCTTGGGCCTTGCCGCTCAGTTAGAAGCTACAGGACAGGAATGAATGAATGAATGAATGGGTGAAGGGTTGAATAATGCTATCTGGAAACAAAGAAGGACTGGAACGTGGAAGTCAAGGGATCGTACAGGCAGTGAAGGGCACTAGTTTCTGGGCCCCTGCTGCTCATGCCCAGCACTCAGGGAAGCCACACTGCCAGTGGCAGCTCTGAGGAGCTAGGACGCTGCACAGAAGGCAGAGAAGCATATAAACAGGCTGCACTGCTCCACGGCTTAAGATTAATATTCCTACTTAATACTGGTTCTAGGGTATGAATTTTTAGACTATAATTCTTTAAAATTTATTATAGTTTTAAACTTAATTGGGTGAAAACATTTCTTGGTGGAGGAGGGGATGCAATTACCCAATTATCAAAGCTAGAATGAATCCTAGGAGGGGCACTAAAACTACCTTGAAGTACTGAGAGGATTTTATTACAGCAACTCTTAAAACAATAATGAATGTACATGTTCCTCAGTATTTTTTGTTTTTACAATAGAAAAGGAACACACAATTTTCAAACAGAAAACAGATTTGCATTTGTGGAGAAGAAATAAGAAAGGGCTATGGGCCAGTGAATTCTCCTTGCAAACCCTCACCACCTAAAATTGTTTTTTCTTTGACGTTAAGGAAAAGGGGGTGGGGTGTGGAGGGGAACTCTAGTGCGGTGACAGACAATGAAATGGAGATGTGGGAACTAGCATTAAAAATACGCTGGCATTTTCCCAAACAGGGAGTGCTGACAAGTATAATCCTATTACTAAAATCACATCAGCAATGAGATAAATGAAATAAAAACAGGATCCCCTGAGACCAGAGTGGCTACTTGTCCACAAAATCTTAGTGCGTTGTGTCAATCTGTCCCCACAAAAATAGTATGTAGTTGAAAACAATGTTAAGGAGGATTTTAAAACACATCATTGAGATTACAGCACCTTTTAAAATAAACAGCGCTGAATACCAACACAGGTAAAATGTCATTGTGAGATGGGGATCTGATATTCGACGGCATGCTTTATGGCTTTCCAGCGTGTGATATAATCTGTTCACCAGATGTACTATTTGTCTTCTGTGTAGCATACTTGAGCATCCTGTAGGCCTGAGGCCCATTTATTTCATGTAATTGCCTTTCCTGTGCACACCTTAGGGCACCCTAATTCTCCATTATATTTCAGGCACTGTACAGGGTACCATCTGGTAGTTTAAAACTCATCCCGTTTTATTGCACTACTACAGTGGCTGTATTCAGCCATACTGCAGGCTTTCAGGTGGGGAAGGACTTCTTACTACCAGTTATTTACTTTTGCCTGAAATAAAGTCGCCTTGAACTACCAACATGCAGGATTCACACGTTGATCATCACTGGTCCATACAAGCTTGACAGAAGTTCCCGGGCAACCTGCAGACTCAAAGCAGTTTTGAACTGCTTCACGCACAGCTGTTAACTTATGGAATTGGGATTCTAAATTCTTCGCCTACTTCTGCACGTAATCATATCTTTTTAGTATCTCATTTGTATTACTTCAGTTCAGATGAGCACAAAAATAAATGTATTCCATCACATCTGGAAAAGTACCTCAGAGAAATCGCTTAATATACAAAGCTGCACACCTCATTACGAGGTTCGTCACTCATTTCCAACCCAGCCTTACCTCTGTTCCTCATCAACGTGGCTTTTGTTTCACTGTTGTTTTCATTAAATTGTTAAATCATTTTTCAAGGGAATTTGCAAGATCTTGAAAAGGCGAGTTTGGAAATAATATACTTGGCAGAAGGAAAATAAATCTCAGGACCTCGAAGCTTTTCTGCAGCGGATCCCGGATGAGAGCGCCTTCCCCCAACTTGTGCACAAATTAGATAGGAAGTAACTCCGCTCTCCTGAGAATTCATCTCCCCCTCCACATCAGCCCTCACACGGATGCGCCCACACAGCTGGGCAAGCCACTTTAACAAAGGGTCCCTGATATGCAAATAACACACACCCAGCTGCACGTTTCCAAATGAGTCATTGTTCACCTGCTGGTTCCTACCTCACCAAATCCCTCTTGCTGCCTGTGTTCTGTATTCCCCCTTCTCTCCCTTCCCTCCCAGTCCAACAGCTAAGGTCTGTCGGCTTCTGGAATGGCAATGAAAAGGCTGCAGCAAGAGCAGGCCAGGCGGGGCGGTAGGGCAAAGTGAGTGATGAGTTGGCTTACCAGCCACTGCTGCCTCTTGACGTGTGTTATCTCGGCATTGCCCAGGGAGATTACCAGTCTTTGGCCAGAGACACAGAAAGACTTCCAGTGTACAATCTGCTAGCTGGCACCAGTGACCTGTGTAAATCAACAAACCAGTCAGGAGATGCTGCTGTTACCACAGGCACCTTGGCCCTTCCTTCTGGTGTTGGGTGACCACGGCTCAACCAGAGTTGGGGATGGAAGGATATTTAAGGTGGAAAAGGGCTGGCTAGAGACCCTTTTGCAGCAGATTCTTTACATGTTTTGCATTCGTGGCAATGACAAATGTAGCTAAATGCACCTGGTTGTAGCTGTCTGCTGCGATCTAAAGCCTGTTTGAGTGAAAAGAATAACTCCCTCTGTTATTTATTGTTGGAAGCAGAGTTTACTTTGCTGTCTTTAACCTCAGCAGAAATCAGCAATGCCAGCTTGAGAGCAAACTGATGAGTTCTATGCAACGGAGCAAAGAGTCGTTGGCTGGAGTCTTGTAAATCAGCAGAAGACCAGTGACCGAATAGATTCGTATTTATTTTCCGGGAGTTACCCCCTTCTTTGACTCTCAGGTAATCTCATTCTATAAAAATGTTAATGCTGGTCCGGATATGAAGGGTGATTTTCCCCCCACAGCTCTGTCAAACATATCTTCCCAATAATTAAATGTGCATCCTTGGGCTCTAAGAGCAGTCTTGTTGAACAAAGCAACCGCAAATCCAACTAACCTTTGAAGAATGAGGGTGTCAAAGTATAAGCAGATGTTTTAATTTGCACAATGCTGAGAATTTTTGGATGCCAAATGTTCCTGAAATAGTTATTGTATCTCAACAGAGGAAGAAAGACACACTTGGAAATAACCTACAAACCTCTCAGTTACAGCGACACTTTCTCATTCAGCAGAAGTGATATCGGAAGTGTTATTAAGAAAGCTATATATTAATCAGCATCTAACGAGAAAGTAAGATAACTTTATAATTATAAAACAAGAGGGCATAGCAAAATTTTATATGCACACACACATACACACAGTCTCTATAAAGTCCATAGCCAGGTTAAAAACAGATTTAAAAGAAAACACTCATGCTATCCCTTGTGTATGCATTAAAGATTTCTAAAATGATTTAGGGGATGTATGCTATTTTTTAAAAAAGGAGGATACATACTCTAGCCATGAAATTATAGCATCATGTTGTCTGGCTAGTTGAACTTGCATTGCTTTGGGGAAATGTTAGCACACGTTTTTCACAAGTGGATGAGTGCAGGAAAGATTTATATTACACATAAGGAAAAATGTCCTGACTTTCAGAAGAGTTGTGAGAAGTCCAAATAGTTTACCCAAGAAGGCTGTGGAATTTACCTCCTGGAGATTTTTAGCAGCAGACAAGAGACCCATATGTTTGGGTTTATTTAAGACTAGTTTGAAATGAATAGAATGGGCTCATCAAGAGTTTCCCAGTCTTTCTCATTTTGTCACATGCCTAGGAACAGCCTAAAGTCCAGCTGCCATCCACCAAGCCAGGCCTCTATACAGCCTTCCTCTGAAGCCATCTTCCGTCAGGTCCTAGTCATCGCTTACTAGACCCTCCTGATAGAAAAGGTTAAGCTAAGGAATTCTCATGTGGTGTTGGTGGGTTGGGGAAGGGGGGACTGTAAATTGGTGCAGTCTCCATGGTGGATAGTTTTTCAAAATCCACCAAAATTAAAGTGTATATCTCTCTGTTCCTACAATTACATTTCCAGGACTTTATCTTACAGATCTAGTCACATGTTTCAAAAGGACCTAAGAATTAGTGATTTACTGCAGCAGTGTTTGTAATAGCAAATAATGGGGAACAACTTAAATTTCCATCCAAAGAAGACTGATTAGGGCTTCCCTGGTGGCGCAGTGGTTGAGAGTCCACCTGCCGATGCAGGGGACACGGGTTCGTGCCCTGGTCCGGGAGGATCCCACATGCCGCGGAGTGGCTGGGCCCGTGAGCCATGGCCACTGAGCCTGCGCGTCTGGAGCCTGTGCTCCGCAACGGGAGAGGCCACACAGTGAGAGGCCCGCGTACTGCAAAAAAAAAAAAAAAAAAAGACGACTGATTAAATGAGTTAAGGCACATATGTGTTAAAAGAAAGAGGCAGCTCTATACGTCCCTGTAAAAAGGATCTCAAAGATACTAATAAATGAAAAGATTAGAATATCATGTATAATATGCTCCTGTTGGTTTTAAGAAGTAGAAAAGAGACTTTTCACAGTATAAAAAATAACTTTTGAACTATTATACCTTTTGGATTTGCACTGTATACTTACTAAATTAAATAAACCAAAATAAATGACTAGGGAAATAAGAAAACCTTTTTTCCAAGCTAAAATCCCCCAAATAAAGTAGGAGATTTATTCTGTGTCATTTCTGTTCTCCCTCCATCTTTGTCAGGAAGCCCCTAGTATAAGGTGGCATCCAGTGAGGACAGGCCTGTTTGACTCTGTTTTCTCTTCTCCTTCCTGCAGCTTTAAATTTCAGAAGAGAGAAAAGAGGAAGAAAGTGGCAGAGCCTGGTGAGAGGACACTAGAGAACATGTCCTTGCTTCACAATTTGGTTGCCATATAAACGTGAATTGAGTAGAGCTTCCTGAGGTTGCACAGAGGGCTAAACTTCTGCTAGGACCATGGGAAAAGCCTAGAGGGGCCAATGGCCAAGGGATGACCACTTCCATAGAGGAAACACTCTGACCAGGCCCCACTAGGCACAAGGTGAGTGTTCAGCCCAACCATTGGGGTTCCCTTTATTAAGGTCTGTGTCAATAAAGCCCGGTAGAAATGTAACTCAGCAACATTAATTCTGGAAAGTCTCAGCTAGAACTCTCTGAAAATTATTTGAAAACACAGTTGTGGAATCACTTGAAGGAAGAATCAAGCATCTGTACTTAACACTACAATGGAGTGCAGCAGTTGGAATATGGTAGTTAGCAGGTATGGGCCTACCTCTGAGAGATGAGAGATGAAAGTGTGCAACCATTCTAGGCTGTTTCATCGTAAGGGATATATATCTACCTTACTGAATTAATACGAGGGCTCTTTGTTATAATCTAATCAAGAGTCTGCCACAGTGCTGAGCACAGAGACTGGATCAAAAGACCATGGCCAGTGGGTTCTCTGCCAAAATACTTGCCACCTCAGCCACTCTGACTCTTTCCCAGCTGGTTCCTACATGGATGAGGCAGAGACCCTCTAGTGGGGTCACGAGAGAGACCCTCATCCCATTGCGGACACTAGGCTGGTAAGTTAGCGATACTTCTCAACCAAATCTAAAAAGTCAAGACACCAGTCCACAAAAGACCAGAATCACTGTGCAGGCAACTGTTTAACGTGGTAGAGATAATATTTCTCCGCCTAAAAATATCGTACTTAAAAGAAAGGAGGGCTTCCCTGGTGGCGCAGTGGTTGAGAGTCCGCCTGCCGATGCAGGGGACACGGGTTCGTGCCCCGGTCCGGGAGGATCCCACATGCCATGGAGCGGCTGGGCCCGTGAGCCATGGCTGCTGAGCTTGCGGGTCTGGAGCCTGTGCTCCACAACGGGAGAGGCCACAACAGTGAGAGGCCCGCGTACCGCAAAAAAAAAAAAAGGAGACCTCAGTTCCAGGCTCCTACTCTTGAGGGTTTTATTTAAAGTATACCCCATCTTTACTTGCAGCTGAGAGGCTGAAGATTAAAAATTAGCCACTGTATAGTAGCTGAGCAGTAACAATTTTTCATAAAGGTTTTTACTACACATTTGGGATTATAATTTCAATATTATGCAAATGCATTTTATGGATCTGTAATACGGAATGTGTACTGGCGTTAATGTGCATTAGCGGGTGAGCACAGAAAGGCTCCAAATGAGCCATTTTGGTGTCTGCTTTCAATGTGTATTATGAACAATAAGTAAAATGTTCTGGTTTAGAACAAATAATATAAAATCTGAATTCCTCTTGATATTCATCAGTGATGAACAGCCCTACGCAACTCCCAAGGAATTCTTCCATTGGACACAATTAAAAACTGGCTCTTAACCAATATATTCCTGTTTATGGCTTCTCTTCTTGGATGCGATGTGAAAGTAAAACAGATACATTTAATAGGGAAAGGGGTAGTTTCCCCCTGTTGATCAGAATCAGGCATTAATCAGATGCGTGCATTAGGAAGGGCGTGACCCCTTACATGTCAAGGTAGTGGCCCAGGCTACTTCTGTTTTCAGAGGTTCTAAGTATTACGAAGTGAAGAAACATCTAAACAGGGTTACAAAGCTTGTGGCGTATATTTTCAATTAATAAACAGATTTCATGCCTTTACCACAGAATATTTCAGACAAGATAACTGTTGTTCTAAACGTATTTAAATAACATGTAAATAATATTCCTTAATAGTTGTTGCAAGCCTTGTGATCCAACATGGGGACCCAGGTTGAATTTTGTCTGACATGTGTTTTCTTTAACTCTGTCAGTGTGTCTTTGTGGGTGGTTACAGATTAGAAAAGACGTTCAAAGACTAACTGAAGGCTCTTCCTGAATGCAGAGGCCTGAGCCAAACTGCTCTCCAGGCTTCTCTGAGATAAAGCTTAAAAAATGTTTCTTTCCTTTTTAATTTCTTTAATATTTCCACTTTCTAATCTTGCATGATGGCAAAGAAAGCAAGACTAAGCAATGTCACATGTACTGAAGGTGGTAGCTGAGTATATTCAACAAGTAATGCAAAATTTCTATTTGCATTGATTTATTTAGGACCTTGGGGTCTATTGATCTTTTTTCTTCCATATGTGTTTAACACCTGCCTCCTTCTCTGGCAGTCTGGAAGAAGGCAAGGTTGCACTGTCTAACAATTATAGGCTGGGCATTCAGTTGAGTAAGAGTAATGTAAAAATCTCTATCAAACAGGCATCCTTAACTTAATGTATTTCAAAATGCCACAGATTCCATGACTTATCTTCAAAATGGTAATAAAAATATCCATGCATTGAGTTCTTACTGTGTTCAGTGTTTTATGTGCATTGTCTCAATTAAGTCACAAAGTAATCTCCCAAAGTAGGTTTTACAATCCCTATGAAATGGCTGAAGAATCTGGGGTTTAAAAAGATTAGGTAATTTGTACAGTCACACAGCTCTGTAGGCCTGTCTAATTTTTCAACCCAAATTCTTGATCACTGTATAGCCCTGGGTCTACTATTAATATGGTGGCCAGTAGTCTTGGCTTCCTTTACCATGTAAATTACAGCAGTGGTGTTTGGTCCTTCAATCTGACATGGACACTACAATTAATATTAAAGTCTGATTCAATTTCAACCGGTCATTACATCACTGTTGTCTACCTTGCTGCAGTTGCTAACTGCTTTCCATTTCCCCCTGACATTTCTCCATTCTAGATAAAAGTCTGTGGAAGGAAAGATGGATACAGCAAGAAGGTCTATCCAAGAACTTAGTAAATAGGTGCTGAACAAATAATTCAGATTTTTAAGTTCTCCCATCAAATTCAAAAAAAGTGTTTGACTACCTGCAGAGTGTAAGCTATGATTTCTGTTCCTGAGTCGTTAAAATTTCAAAAATCCCAAATGAAAGCCTATTGGTAGTAGGGCAGCCCTTCCAAGTATTAATTTACAATCAATTTTGAAAGGAACTGAGTATATTGTGTCCAAATTTGAAGATGAGCTATGGGCTCTATGCCAATAAGCAGATAAGGCTCCTACCCCAACAGGTAAAATATGAGATGCTGAATAATAAAGCCTGAAGTACAGTAGAGCAGGCCTGAGCAAACAAGTAGCACATCCTCTTGAAATATTCCCAGCACCATTTGCTGAGCCTTTTCTGGGCACTAGCCCTCTCTTAATCGTCACAGCACCCTGTAATGTAAATAATATTGTCTTCATTTTGCAGATGAGGAAATTGAGGCTCAGGTAAAGTAAACCATCTAGCATCACATTGTTAATAAGTTGTTGAATGAGGATTTAATTCCTGGTCTGCTTGATTTCAGAGAACATGAGAGAGAAACAAAGAGAAGATAATGATTTTTTATTTTTAATAGTCGCTATCCTCTTTTTTTATTGTGGTATAAGATACATAACATAAAATTTACCATTTTAACCAGTTTTGAGTATACAATTCAGTGGCATCAAATACTTCACAATGTTGTACAACCATCATCACCATCTATTTCCAGAACTTTCTCACCATGACAAACAGAAACTCTGTACCCATTAAACAACCTGAACTGGGTTTTAAAGGAGGAGTGGGAAAGAAAATGTAGTGGGTCAGAATGGCATTGCAGACACAGGGGACATACAGAGTGTTATGTGTGTAGGAACTACAAGCAGCTGATTGCTGATTTTTGTTTTAAATAGACCCCCTTCTCCAGTGCTGTGTGGAGGTTGGATTTGAAGAAGAGAAAGCTGGGAGCAAGAGACCAGTAGAGCTGTTGCCGTGGTACAGGTGAGCTATGATGGCGTAAACCTGGTGGTGTTAATAGCCATGAAGAGAGGGTAGAATCAATCAACTCATACAAATAACATCAATCTTTAGTGACTGACTGAATAGATGGGATGGAGGAGGAGGATTTTTAATAGTCACATAATGATTTTTAAAGAATGAATCTCACTACTCTGAAACCCTGTAGCAAGTTTTGCCTTTACTGTGGTCCTTATCAAATTCTGCTTTGTTGTTTCTGATCTTCTTATATCACCCTTACTTAATTATAAGCTACTCTATTTGGGAGAGGGAAGCACGTGCAGACAATTTGTTACATCCTTCACAGGCCTTGTTAAGTGCCTGAGGCAAAGTAGATATTCAATAGGTATTTCATTTATTCCTCATATATTTACTGCGTGTGTACTCTGTGGCCAAGTCCAGTAAAGAGGACAAGCCATGCCCTCCAGGAGCTTCCAGCCCAGTGGAGAAGGTGGTTAAAGAAGCAAGGCTCTCACCTGGGTGTGGATGTGCTCTAATAGGGGAAGCAGGGGCAGACGTCTAGCTGGAGGGCTCAGCAGAGGTTTCCCAGAGATGTCATCTGAACCCACTCCTGGAGCGTAAGAGCCAGGCAGAGTAGGGAGGACATCACAAGCAGAGGGAACAAACAGGGATGTACAAAGGCCCCCCCAGTCAGAGATAAGCTGTGGATGGCCTGTTCCAAGAATTCCAAGTCATCTGGAGCTTACTGTTCACATGTAGGGTGAGGGGGCTGCTGTGGGAAGGGAAGGCAGGGGCAGAGGGGGACCAGCAGGAGGGGTGGTGTAGAGGTTCAAGGGACCAAGTGCCCCACGCTAAAGTGCTTGTCCTTTGTCCTGGCCATTCTGGGGATGGTTTTTAACAGGGGAGAGGGAGGATCTTGCCTTCAGGAGAAGAGAAGGCCATTTTGTATGTAATTTGGAAGGACACACATATTTTATCGTTATTCTTAGAGCCCCCCACATCTGTTTTCTCTCTTCATTAATCTGTGGGAGCCACCTGGACTAAAATACTGAAGGAATCTTCATTTTGAATATCCTTGTGTTTAGGCATCAGAGTTTAGTGCTCAGAGATTTAATTAGAGCTGCATTGAGGCACTTTTTATCTTAACAATCTCTCTGTAGGCAGAGGCAACAGAATAACAGGAATCAATATAAACAACCTAAGTGGAATACCTCGGAAAGAAAGAAATATTATTTTTGCTGATGCACAAGTTTTATTCTGAAAAATCATGAAGGTCTCCATTAGGAAATCATTCTTCCTTGGCATTGTGTTGTATGCTCAACAAATAGAAGGTAAATATGCTAAAATTCGTGTCTTTTTCATGAAAATAACACATAACTATAAAGCTCTTTGTTTTCACCCAACTGCTGAAAACATTTGTGTAGGCAATTTCAGTAAACATTTGGAGAATTGGAAGTGCTGTCTCCTACACATATGGTTCTTTATGAAGAGGTAATTTTTATCTATGTTCTACTCAATTGAATATTTATAAGTCTGTTTGCCCTCAAAGGTGCCTGATCTCCCCCCAAAATACAATCGCCCTGTACAGCTAAAGTGAGATTTATTCAGTTACCCTTTAAGAACTTTGTGAGTTATTTTCATTTTCTCCCCATGAATTTATTCCCAGTACAATCCTAAATTTGTCTAATTTGCTGTGTTATTGCAATTAGTCAACTCTCCCTTAGTTACACAAATAATAGCCTTATAAGTTTGAGGCTGTAAATCACTCATCCATTAAAAATGCCATTTCCTTGTACTGCAAATTCGATTCATTTAGAAGAGAAAAAACCATGGCATGGAACAGAATTATGCAATGTCATGGACACATTAACATTTGGATCAAAATTTTACATTGTGTCAGCCAGTAAACAGTATAAATGGTCCAGATTTGCAATAAATAATTGTCTATTAATACACTGGCATGCTGTAGCAAATTACAGTCACACTTCAGTAAACACGGCTGTAGGTAGGCTCCAGGGCTGAGGGAAGCAAGTGCCACAATTGGTTTGAGTGGAAAGAGCCTGTCTTTCAGGGATGCAGGGCCACATTTCTCCAGCAACTGGGAGCATGGCTGTGGGTTCAAGGCCCCTTTTTGTAAACGCAGGAGGAAGACCCACTGGGCCCTCACTGTAGCTGGAACATGGGACACTGGGACGCAGCCCCTTGCCGTAAAACCTACAGGAAGCGTAGATGCTGAACTCAACAAGGGCATCCCTCATGTTTTCTAAAAGTGAAAGGGATGGCAGCACATTTTATTAACTAGAAAACTCTTCCTGGTGCACGGGACCGACCTGGAGGGGAAATAGGCTTATGGCTGAAACAGCCACAATATTGGGTGTTGATTATGGAGCCACTAAAGGACCGCCCCGAAGCCAGGCTCTCCCCAGAGTCTGCCTTATGTGTAGCCAGATTTAGGCCCTCCTTCCATCTCTCCCCTCCAGAATCTTCCTCATTAGCCAATTGAAGAAACTAAAATTAATACTATTTTCATTGTTTGGCTTAAGGCTTTTAAGCCCTGACAAAATGCAAACAAGGTGTCAGGAATGGCTGGTAAATAGATACATTCACATTCATTAACATCTTGGCCTGCAGCAGATTATCAAGTAACCAAAATCAGGGTACTGAGTAGGATGAGCTAGAACTCAGGACAAGTAACCTTTCCTATGGGTGAGGGGAGAATGAAGTGTTGCCCAGAAGACACCGTGAGGGCACAGGGCGTGACAGGGCGCAGGGAGCACACAGAAGGGATCAGGGAAAGATTCAGAAAAGTGGCTAACATTTGTATAGTTTATCTGTGAAAGTACTGCCACTACTATTATCATCCCCATTTCCCAGATGAGAAAACAGAGACCCAGAGATGTTACAGAACCTGCTCATCAAGAGTATCCAGCCAGTGTGACAATTTATACGGAAGAATCAGGTATCTCCAAAAGCTAATTTATCTTAGTCCATAATTTAGCCCAAGGCTTTCTAGGAATAATAGAATTTACTGATCTTAAGGCCATGTAGTTCAATTAATTGAAATTGTCCCTTAGCAAATACCAAAGTTTTATGGAATTCTCTGTAATACAGATTCTAGGGACTTCCCTGGCAGTCCAGTGGTTAAGACTTCGCCTTCCAATGAAGCAGGTGCGGGTTCGATCCCTGGTCGGGGAGCTAAGATCCCACATGCCTCAGGGTCCAAAAACCAAAACAGAAAACAGAAGCAATAGTGTAACAAATTCAATAAAGACTTTAAAAATGGTCCACATCAAAAAAAATCTTAAAAAAAAATAGATTCTAGATTCAATTCAAAACGTTAAATTTATTTTTTTCTACTACTATCCTATTCAGTGTCACTCAGCTCATAAAGAAAAAAATGTTCTCTATTTGCCTCCAAATTTAGTATTCATTTTCTCTACATCTGTACATTTAAAATACATAGAAAAGTTAAAGCAGCTTTATAAGTCATATTTTAACAAAAGTATTAATATCTTAAAAAGCTGGCCATCTAGAGATATATGATTTTTCTTGATTGAATTAGATACTATTTTCATCAAAATTATAAGAAAAATTTATTGAGCACTTATTAAGTATAGGGTATTGTCCCGGATTTTAGATGATTGCCTAATTTTGCTTTTCATGTCTTCTGAAAGCGGAGCTTAATTTGGAGTTATTTCTCGAGAATGGGGAGCAGCTGTGACTGATTTATTTAAATACTTTAGAACACTTGAAAATTGTTTTTCTAATTCACCAGAGAATTATTAAATCCTTGTGATTGTATACCCTCTTGAGCAGTATTAGTTTCTCTCTCATGTTTGGACAATTGCTGTGGTCTCATAGCTGTGACTTTGCCAACTATAGCTACTTATTCTTGAGTACCACTGGGCTAATCCCCATAAAGGTCATTTTTATGACATCATTCTCCTACTCAAAACTTTCAGTGGTTCCTCACATTCTTCCAAACAAACTCTCAAGCTTGCATTCAAGGACTCTGTCATTTGGGTACTGCCTACTGTTCAGTACACATTTCCTATTGCTTCCTTTTGCAAACCCTCTGTGGCTGCCACATCCTCTGACCCCCAGGATGCTGCACCCTCCATCCAGCATCTTCCATTCCATCAGCCTCCAACGTCTCTACCATTCTCTCCAGACCCCCTCCCATGCACTCCCCACATCTTCTTTGAAATCTTTTTTTGATTATCTAAGCTCCTTTCCTCTCTAAAATCCACAATTTAACATTTACCACAGAAGTTGAAAAGTTTTAGAATGGGCAGGGACATGACTGGGGCCATTTATTATCCTTTTACACAGCTCCTCTCAATCTTGATTCAGTGGAATTGTACTGGATTAAGGATGAGAAGACCTGACTCTCCCATCTTCTCCACAGCGGACCTTGGGCCAGCCATATGAGCTCTGTGAGACTCAGTTACCACATCTGTAAAATGGAGATACCTCGCCTACCTGCTCCACAAGTTTGTTTTGAACATCAAATGTGATCATTCATAAGAAAGTGATTCATAAATTCTAAAGCACTAAGTGCTGTTACCATGTCAGATGTCCTTGTACACTGCACAGCCCTCCTGTCTCCCCCACCCCATCCATGCACTGCTAAAGAACATGGTAGTAGGATGGAGCCAATGAGGACTTGGCAAATACTCTAAAAAAGATGTTCCATAATTCAAGGGTATATCTCTCTGTATTGAAGAGAATTTAACAGATTGTTCATTGTATCCCCCTCAGATGGCTTTCTGGGTTGTGGAAATTTCTGCCACCTCCTTCTACCATATTGGAACTGGGAGGATTTCTGGAATCATCAGGTTCCACCCGGTGCTTAGAGGTACGACCTAAATCTTTAGCTGTCTTTCTCCCATAGAAAATGGTAAACAAATCCTTGTTGGCAAAATGAAGGAATATTTCTTTCTTTTTTTTTTTTTTTTTTTTTTGCCTCTCAATGTTGTGGCCTCTCTTGTTGTGGAGCACAGGCTCCGGACACACGTGCAGGCTCAGCGCCATGGATCACAGGCCCAGCCGCTCCGCGGCATATGGGATCTTCCCGGACCAGGGAATGAACCCGTGTCCCCTGCATCGGCAGGCGGACTCAACCACTGCGCCACCAGGGAAGCCCGAATATTTATTTCTTATCTTTCAATGAGAATATAATAAATTTTGGTTATTTATATTTACACTTACAAGCACATCTGCTCATGTTATTTCAACCACATTCCTCAAATACACCTTTCTTCAGTGCTAACTGCTCCAAACATCTAAATATCAGCATAGGTACAGAAACTGTTGACTGTTAATACTTTTCACATTTCCTTGCTGAATGTATGCTTTAGAGAAACTTAAGATGATCTGTCTGATCGAGAGGCCCCTTGGTCCTCGAAATGTCTCACTTTTAGCGTTGAAACAACAATAATGATTTGCGTCATTTGTGCACTACACACCAATGACACGAGCTAATTGTGTATCTACTATATAATGTCTATTATTACATGCATAACTACACATTAACTCCATTGGAAACACTGGTAATTACACAGTATGTTACATTAATGCACCTGTATTATCATCTGATTGCCATATCGTTAATTCAAGTGACCTCTATAAATCTGTTTCCACCATCATTTCCTCATTCTGGGCCTCTTTACAGCACTTTACAGACTGTTAGGAAAACAATCAATTAATCACTTGAACTGCACAGTTAAAACTGTTTTTAGAGAAGAGGATCTGAAGTGTGATCTATTGCATTTTTTGTCTGTTTTTCATCACTTCTCCTTTGCTTGATATATGCAAACAACTTTAGATAGAGCTACATTCCATTTCCTTTTGTGTGAAATTAGAACTATTTTCACTTTGGAGAGAATCGCAGCAAGTTTTTGATTAAAAAAAATTTTTAACCTGTCTGGTTCACAAACAGAATCACAGCCTAGACAGGTCTAAGTTCACGCTAAAAAATGTCGATCAAATGTTCACACCAACACATTTAACAAAGGCAAGTTCACGTTTGCTGCTAAAACCTGAGTTGACTCCCAGTCAATTTGCATATCTATCTGGTTACACCAAACTGGACTTTTCTACTATCAATATGGTCCTCACCATCCCCTGTCCTTACAATTCCCTCATTCAACTGCAAAGCGACTCCAGCCCAAAAGATGAAAACCCCATCAGCATTTTCATAGTTAACGACAGGGCTACAAAACAGAAAGTAACAGCAGGAATCTGAAGCCAGTGCTTTTATTGGACTAACTAACGATATAAATAAAATGGTCCCTGACTGAGCTTCAGAGAATCACTGTCTCTTTATCAGGCCATAGAAAACAGATCCAGGAGGGCAATAAATACGGCACATAACAGAGTGGAATTAAATGATTAGGCCTGAATTAACACCCTTTTTCTGAGCCTCACTTAGTGTTCCATGGCCCCAATGAAACACTGCAATTCACAAACACTCAAGGCCCATTTAATTTTTATTTCAAGCTAGTTCAGAAGAAGGGATTACCTATAACTCCCCCCATTCCATTGTATAACTCTTGAAGTAACAACACTGATCCTGTCTAGATAACTGTGAGGAAAATAGGCTGTGCCAAAGGACTCACAGATTCTATCCAGAATCTTGCGTCTAAGAAGTCACATTAATTAAAAGGGCCCAAATCCCTGCCCTGTGAAAGTGACAAGGCTGCCCTCGATGGGAAATTAATGAATTAATTAAATCAACTTGGTTGGTTCCCATGGTACTGAGAACATAACTCAGCAAATGTCGGTCCACATTTTTTACTTTTTGAAGTGTGACTTTACTATGACAAAGATCCTAAGTCCTAACTGCAAAATGGAATTTAATATCGCCTTGGAGGATAATACATGGTGGCCCCATTCCCCATTATGCTATATGCAATATAAGGTGAGTTAAACTTAAACCGTATTAGAAGGAAATTAATACTGTTCTACCCTTTTCCATTTATACAACGACTCTAGATGTTAGAGGACTTCACTATACCAGTGAAGTACTTAGAAATTTCAGATGAAATATGCAGCCCAATGAAACTGAGGCATAAAATCCACTTTGAATACCTGTGACGTGAAATGATGTATGAGATGGAGGGATATTTATAAGGCAAGGTACTTGAGAGTCAAAAGGTAAGGGGGCTTGCAGTTTTGAGCAACTACTAGATGCTTAGTTTTGGGCTGTTTGCTCATTTAATCCTCACAACGTCCTGTAAAGTAGTTATGATCATTTCCATTTTACAAATAAGGAAACTCAGGCTCAAGGAGTAGTGTATATCTGCCCAAGTTCACACAGAAAGTGTGATATTCAAATTCAGTTCTAGCTGACTCTGAAGCTATACCTTTCCATCAGTACTATGGTATCCCTTGCTTAAGAGTGTTAGCATCCCTAGAGCTTTGACTTAGAATTTTCTAGAATAACCAAAGAAGCCAGCCATCATGTAGAAGAGGGGTGAGATTGATTCAATATAGTACCAAGAGGTAGAGAAAGAACCAAAGGGTTTTGGCTCTCTGTGAGAACATTTTTTATAAAATCCCAGGAGATCCAGACATTTAACCAATTGAGGAACTCCCCTGGAAAGTAGATGAACCAGACTATCCAAGTTTGCTTCGGGTTGTGAGTTATGGCCTGAGTGGAGTCCAGAATTTATCTGTTATTGTCACCTCAAGAAGCATCATGAGCCCTGACTGGAATAGAGCAGGAGAATCCTTCCACATTCTCAAGAATATGGAGCCTGACCATACCCAAGGTTTCCCTAACAGCTCATTATAGCACGTAGTTGTGTACATGACAGTTCGGGAGGGACGCCTATTAGATCAAACCTTCTCTCCCTTGATACTTTGGACAACAAAATTACTGTAATCCTAACTCAAGTGTATGCTTGAGTACCTTCAGTGAAACATACAGTGACACACACATAAGTTTCTCATGGACTGGCACAGGCATTGAAGACTACATTGTGGAGAAGTTACAATAACGATGTTTTTTCTTTAAAGATAGGGCTTCCCTGGTGGCACAGTGGTTGAGAGTCCACCTGCTGATGCAGGGGACACGGGTTCATGCCCCGGTCCGGGAGGATCCCACATGTCCCGGAGCGGCTGGGCCCATGAGCCATGGCCGCTGAGCCTGCTCGTCCGGAGCCTGTGCTCCGCAACGGGAGAGGTCACAGCAGTGAGAGGCCCGCAAACTACAAAAAAAGAAATATTCACTTCAGCTTAAGAATGTCGAACTGTGTCTATCTGTTAAATTATGATTAGACATTTAATAGGCAGAAAAGCATCTAATTGCATGTTCTATGCAGTATCCTTATACATTATTAGTACCCAATAAATTAATTAAAATGCTTTTGACAATTGATGTTACATGGTAATAATTATATCTATTCCTTTATGAGTGATGAATCCCTTGAAATTTTGTTCTGAGAAAAGATCTTTGTTTACTAAAAAGAGATACTAATATGATTTCAGTGAGTTTACTGATTTTTCATTCCTTGGCCAGCGATTCCTAAGAAGCAAAGGTCTAGATGATAATTGCTCACATCTGAGTCTCAGCTTTAGTGATTGTTCTTGGCTATGGTTTTTAAAAATAACAAGACCCCTGATATCTTCTGGCCTAGACTTAGACACAATCCCAGGCTTTCCTTTGACCTTCACTTTTCAGTAGTAATTTAAGTGAAGTGAAATCTGTCTCCACTGTGTCAGCAATAAGAGCCAAACTACATCTTTGAACTTAAATCCATGATGCTAAACTACAAAGCTACTTCTAGAAGTAGCTGCCTGACCATCTTGGTTTCTTCAAGGTCTAAACCCTTTCATTTGAGTTTGACAATATATTTTTATTTTGAGCTAGATTGTTGTTGTTGTTTTTTAAAGAAAATGTTGGGGGTAGGAGTTTTTTAATTAATTAATTTATTTTTGCTGTGTTGGGTCTTCGTTTCTGTGCGAGGGCTTTCTCTAGTTGTGGCAAACGGGGCCCACTCTTCATCACGGTGCGCGGGCCTCTTACTATCGCGGCCTCTCTTGTTGTGGAGCACAGGCTCCAGATGCGCAGGCTCAGTAGTTGTGGCTCACGGGCCCAGTCACTCCGCGGCATGCGGGATCCTCCCAGACCAGGGCTCGAACCCGTGTCCCCTGCATTAGCAGGCAGATTCTCAATGGCTGCACCACCAGGGAAGCCCTTGAGCTAGATTTTGAAGAAGCAAAACTGTTCAGGAAATTATTTTGTCAGATCTTCTACTTTTCTGATTTGACATTACAGAAGCTATCTTCTTGGGTGAATATAGAAATTCTCTGCACCCCAGGCCAAGTCTCATTCCTCTTTATTATATGGGACTTACTGTTATTGTGATTTGAAACCATTCTGTTCACCTATAGTATTTATTTACCTGTTTATTATCCATCTCCTTTCTCTGATATGTCTGTTCCAGAAGAGATGAGGCAGTGCTTGTCTTTTTCGCCACAGTCCTCTAGGCCTAGAATACTTCCTGGAACATAGTAGAAGCCCAATAAATTGTTTACTGACCAGATGAATTGCTATAAATAGAAAAGGTCACAGTCGATATCACTAAAGCATTTAGGTCTCAATACCATTTTTCCCTTCCCCAAATAAAAACTTTACACTTTTCTAATCTCCTACAATAAAAATTTCACTAGCTAAGTCCTTAGCAATATTAATTCCTCACTTCTGTCACTGTCTTTCTCAGGGCCCGAGGCTGAGCCAAACATGACTGAGGTTTTCAAAAGATATATTTTTAATACAATGTTAAAATATACTCACTAGGGGAAGGCTCATAAAATCCAGCTTCAGCCACAAACTGGACTATGGGCTGCCAA